TCTTCAGCTCTGCACACCCACGCCCTCCATAATGAGTCTGCCCCAGTAGAGGTCGGTAACACCCCCAGGCTGCAAAAGCTTATCTGTGAGCCACCTACTATGCTAAATTTGACTGAGGGCATTATGAGACACTTTAAAATGGTTTTTAATCATTCTCAATCAAAATACCCTGAATTTAACAATTCATTAGTCAACAAACATGTGCTGAGTGTCAACTACATGTCAGCCATTGTGCTAGATCTAAGGCTATGTATGACCTCATACAGACCACAGTCTTAATTAAAATAAGAGTAGCAATGGTCAGATGTAAAAACATTACACTTTTCATTTGCTGTGCTTCTACAACCACAGAAGAATGTGAGCAAGAGCAAAAGACAGCATATTTGTTATTTCCAATTTCATTCAAATTCCAGTTTATATTAAAAGGCACTTTCCCCTCTGAGTTCCTGAAATGAAATGACAGTTGATTGGGGAGAATTTTATGAATAGGCCTCATTTTCATTTCTTATGTAAAATTCATGCCAGAGTTCAAATAACAAACACTAATACCCACCCAGTCAAAAGCATGAAGCAAATATATTAGTTGGACTCAAGTGCAGAAAACAGAATTCACGTTAGCTCTTGCAGATCAGCTAGGCTCAGAGGCGGGGGTGGGGGGGTGATAGAGAGAGGCTGCCCTGCTCTGGTCCTGTTCCTTCTTCAAACTCATCAATGAGAGAAGAAGCTCTTCTTCGCTGGGGAAGAGTGAGGAAGTGAGCAGAGACAGCCAGGCACATCATCCTACTGGACATAACTCTACCTGGAATCTATAGGAGTGGGGAAAAGGAGCACCTCCAACTAACCAGCTCAGTATTTTGAAGTAATTGATTTTATTCCTTGTGATTCCGACCTAGATTGTGTTTTTCAAAAACAAGTAAATCTCACGTGTGTCTGACCTCATGACTATGGTAAGGACTGCCCCCTCCCACAGCCCATGGACCGGGAAGAGTCGCCTAGGATGGAGGCAAGAAACTTCTGAGCTGTTGGAGCTCTGCAAAATCCCCAAATGTAGGAGTGCTTCCTTACTTCTTGTACCATCAACCCCAAGTCCACAGCATCAATACTGGAATTGATAGAAAGATCTCAGAGTGGCCCGCAATCACTCTTAAAGCATATTATCACAAACTTCACAACTGGTGAACTCCTATGGATACCACAACCTGACCTACCAACCTACTTTTGACATTATTTTTTTTTCCCCAGCAAACCAGCTTCATTCAATGTAGGCTTTAATCATGTATTTCAGATACTCTTACTCATCTTACTGAAAATCAAGAGTGCAATTTTGAAAACAAAACAAAACAAAACAAAAAAACAAATAGACCTCCATTGACAAGGCAACTCTTCCACTTCCTTTCTACTGTTTTGATTATCACTTGCGAGATTTATCTTATTCTCGTTTTGTTTAAATTTGGAAACTGGAATGTTGAAGAGCAGCTGATAAAGCACGTATTCCAGACATTAAAAGTTTTAGCTTAGTATCAACTCATCAGGAAAAGAAAAAGCTAACAGATTTTCATTTTTCACGAAAATATGGCAATAATAATGCATTTGCAGCTACAAAACAGGTCAAGGTCATTTGTGGCGCTCATTAAATCTGCCACTCCTGTGAAAAAGGCTAAAAGCGCTGCCTACATTTTGCAAATAGAAAAAAAAAGTAACAGGTTTCATCTTGCTCCGGGTATAATAGCAAAGCCTGTGGTAGAGCCAGAAATAGAACCTGAAAGCGTTCATGTTCCTTTTTGATATAGAACAGGACCCAATTCAAGCAGTCTCATTAAAATTGTGCTACAGAAGAAGCAGGTCTACCATTTTCCTTAATAGAATTAAATAGTTCATTCTGGCTGCCCTTTCAACTAGATACCTATGCTAATTCATTTAACTGACCAACCAAATATCATTTATACAGTAATTTCATAGAACACATTGGATGCTAAGCATAATAGGTAGCCTGCAATTCTTTGCAAGAATTCTTTTACGAAAAAAGCAATATTTAAAAATCCAATACAATCAAACCATTATAGGATAGCAAGCACCGTTGCTTAGGGTCGGCTGGTCAACATGCAACTTCTAAGCCGGCTGCCTTAATGTAATTCTGGATTTTAAAGGGTTCTAAATTCAATCCCACAGTCGCTGGTAAGGAAAAGCACCTTCAAAGTTTCAGAAATTGAGAATTCCATGCTGCCATCCTGTGTCCACCCTCTGGCCACTGCAGCTAGGATTTTGGTTTCCTCCTCGAAGTTTGTGCATTTATGTACAAGTGTTGGGATGGAGCTTGGGTCAGTGCTGATACCGTGTTTCAATGTGCTTAGAAACCCTAATACTTCCACCAGCTGTCTGTACTACTAGACTGGGGACAGAATAGTTCTCACAAAATATTAGCACTATGTGGGGTCTGGGAGCAAAATGAGGAATTTCATCGTGTCTACTGTACCCAGTGGGTAGCCTAAAGGATTCCGTGAGATCTTCTAGGCAGAGCAATGGATGCACAGAGCAGATAGGCAGTGTTCGAGAAAGGTTAGCACTTTCTATCTTTAACACACTGGCCTGACACACGGCCGCCCTGCAAACAGCAACGTTTGATTGATGTGCGTTTATATAACATATTATCAACAAGCATCATCAATGGGCATGTTTAAGGTGGTCTTCGGGGTCTGGCATGGCCAGGCGGCGACCAGCATCTCCTATCACACCCCCCACTGCAGCCCACGTTACATCATGCCTTCTCCTGTGTCTCACTCCATCCTCCACCCCTTGGCTTTTTGTGCAGAAGTCAAGCAGACTTCCTGCATTTCCATGAAAGCACTGAGCTCCTTCCTAGAACACACACTCTGCACATGCACTTCCTTCCATGTGGAACTACACCCCAGGGTCTTCTCCTTTGTCCTATAAACTCATCTTCTGTTTTCTGCTTAATCAGAAAGCTGAGTCTTTGACCCCCATTGTAATGCTTGTGAAGTGCTGATTTTGCATTTTTGAGCTGATTCCTGTATTTGTGTCTGTTTCACCCATGAGAGTAAGGGTTCCAACAGGGCAAGGCCCACGTTTAGGGCTTTTTTTCTCACTATCTATATACCTCCAGGTCTACCACAGTGTTTGGCATATGTTAGGTTCTCAATACATATGGGTTCTATAAATGTATGAACATATGCCCATACAAAGCTATGGCTCCCAAGGACTGAGCATGTCTCTCTACTTTATTTCATAATCACTGTTCCCCTCACCCCTGGCCTTAACTCTACCATGAAAATACACATTTTTCACCAGGTTAAAATAGCTTGGGAAAAATAAAATGTAAATTCCCGCTTAAAAAGAGAGGGAAGGGGCACCTGGGGAGCTCAGTCAGTGAAGCAGCTGCCTTCGACTCAGGTCATGACCTCAAGGTCCTGGGATTGAGCCCCACATCAGGCTCTCTGCTCAGCGGGGAGTCTGCTTCTCCTTCTTCCTCTGCCCCTCCCCCTGCTTGTGCTTTCTCTCTCTCTCTCTCCAATGAATAAATAAAATCTTTATTTTAAAAAGAAAGAGAGAAGGAAGAAAAGATATATCAACGAAATAAACATAGAAATGGAGCGGTGAGCCAGCATTAGCAAGGGGCAGTATGAGCAGTGGTTAAACCACTATTGCAGGCCCATTCCACACTGGGGAGAGGGACCTGGGAGCTGAAGGATGTGAAGACCCCTATTCCATCCCCACCACAATTAGTCTTCTTCCTAAGTTTCCTTTCCTAGTGACTTCCACCTGGACAGGGCGCCCCAGGGCAACTGCCCTTGTCCCTTCATCCATCCTGGTCTCCTCTGCCTTAACAAATAGGGACCAAAATAGAACCCTAAAGCATTGCCTCCATTGCCTCTTTCTTTCTTTCTTTCTTTCTTTCTTTCTTTCTTTCTTTCTTTCTTTCTTTTCTTTCTTTCTTTCTTTCTTTCTTTCTTTCTTTCTTTCTTTCTTTTTTTTCTTTTTGTTATACTCACAACTAAAATTTATTACAGTGAAAGGATACAAAACACTATTGGCAAAGGGCGAAGCACATGGGGTGGAGTACAGGGGAAATCAGTTACAAGCATCCAAGGATCCTCTCCCAAGAATTCTTTAAAAAATGAAAATACTCGTGTTTTTCTCCTTAGCATTTGCCACCCTAAGCTACTGGTTATTCACGTCTTGATTTATCTTCTCCACTCTAAGGTCAGACCAAGGCCTTTGTTTCATCCTTTTGAGGATTAGAAAGGGGCATGGGCATAGGAGGTGCTCAAGTGTGAACAGAAATGTGACATAGAAAAAAAAAAGAAATGTGACATAGGAAAGAACAGCTCGGGATTCTTTTTAAAAATTTTGTTTTTAAAGATTTTATTTATTTATTCATGAGAGACAGAGACAGAGAGGCAGAGACGCAGGCGGAGGGAGAAGCAGGCCCCACGCAGGGAGCCCGACCTGGGACTCGACCCGGGTCTCGGGGGTCACGCCCTGGGCTCAACCACCGGCCCCCCGGGGTCCCCAGGCAGGGGAGTCCGGGGCCTGCAGGACCCAGAGCTGTGGCCCACGTGCTGAGCTGGGAGAGGTCCCCGAGGAGGGGGGGTGGCCCGAGAGAACCAGCTCCTCGCCCGGGGCGCTCGGGCTCCAGAGAAGACGCCTCGCTGCCGGGGACCCGGCTTCCCGCCGCAGCAGGTGCCAAAGATCCGCGGCGCTGAGACTTTGGGCGCCAACGGCCGGGCCCTCCCCTTTCCGGCCTCTCCTTCCCACGGATTGGCTACTCTCCCCGCCCTCCCGCCTCCATTCTTCCCAGGGATTGGCTTCTCTCCACGCCGCCCCGCCCCCATCCTTCCCACGGATTGGCTTCTCTCCACGCCATCCCGTCCCCATCTTCCCAGGGATTGGCTTCTCTCCCCGCCGCCCTGCCACCCTTCCCGCGGATTGGCTGCTCGCTCCACGGCCCTCCTTCCTCCCCTCCCTCTTCCCCGGGATTGGCTATCTTCCGGCCTCCTTAGCAGCGCCGCCCGCCGGGGGCCGCGGGAGTCGGGCCAGGTCAGCGGGGTGAGCGGGGGCGAGCGGGGGGCGAGCGGGGGGGGCGCGGGGGGCGAGCGGGGGGGGGGGCGCGGGCGGCGGGAGGGCCTCGGCCGCGTCCCCTCGAGCTTTGCCCGCCCCGAGCCCCGTGCTCCCGGCGGCCAGGACGGAGGGGTAGAGCAGCCCTCGGCGGCCCGGGGGGCGGGCGGCTCAGCCCGTCCCGGGGCCGCGCGAGGCACAGGCGCCGCGAGGGGCCGCCCGGAGGCCTCCCCCCGCCCCGCCCCGCCCCGCCCCCCGCCGACCTTGCGCTCTGCTCCCCAGGCCGGCGACTCCGGAGGGCTCGGGGCGGCCCGGGTGTCGGACGCGAGCGGGGCCGCGGCGGCCGGAGCTCCCCGCGCAGGTAGGACCCCCCGCCCCTCCCCCCCCCCGCGACCCCGGGCCCGGCCCGGAGCACGTGGCCGCCCGCCCCGCCCCGCCCCCGCGGCGCCCCGCGATCGGGCCCCGGGCCCCCCCTTTCCTGTGCCCTCCCAAGGCGGCCGCGGTGCCCTGGGAGGCCAACACAGAAGGGGACAGCAAGGCTCCATGAAACCCAGGGACGAGCCCGCGCAGCTCCTCTTTGGATCCTGTCTGGAGTCACAGCCCGACCGGGACGGCTCCTTCCGGCCGAGCACCTGTGTGGGGGGTTTTGTAAGCTCTTGTGCGTCCGCGCGGGAGAGCGGGGGAGGGAGAGCGGGAGGGAGAGCGAGAGCGAGCACGTGCTGGCGCTGCGGCGCGGGGGAGGGGCGGGAAGCGGCCGCGGCCCGGGGACCCTGACCCCGCGGAAGGACGCCCGCCCCGGAGCACCCGGGCGCCCCCTTCTGCCCCCTTCTGCCCCCTTCTGTGATGGGATTCTAGTTGGTAGCGCAGAGAGGAGTGCAGGCTTCCCCTTCCTTAGCCGATCCTTGCAGAGGTGCTGGTCTTTGGAGGGTGGGGAAAGCAGGGGGGTGGAACGCAGAACGCAGGGCTTCTTCCTGCACCCCTGTCTTCGGAGACAAACTGAGAACAAGGTACCTCAACGACTGTTCTCTGTCGGAAAGGCCATTTGGAAGTTTTTCCTTTTTTATAGGTTGACAGCTACAGGTAGCAGCCGTGGAAGCTGGAATATTCTGATGCTGGTTATTTTTACTGACCTGCAGCAACTCTGCGGCCTAAGGTACACACATGCTTCTGTGGGACCCAAAAATTCAGGAAATGTCCCCCACCCCTGGCCCCTAGAGGAGTATGCACTGCGGCCTCCAGCCCAAGTCAGTGCCAAGAATACCCGCAGAGCACGCCCTTAACAGAAAGTTCCATATGGCAATGAGTAGCTAAGAGCTTGAGAAACTCCCCCAAACTTACTAGAAATCCCCTAGACCAGCCCATAAAAATCCAGCTGGAACCCACCTCGAGCCCAAGTCCCTGCTCCACCGTGACAGGTACGCTTGGACCCAAGCTCGAGCTTGCTAATAAAGCCTCATGTTCTTGCATCGGTGTTGGCTCCTTGGTGGTTTCTCGGCTTCGCACCACTTCCAAAGAGGTCAAGTATCCTTCCATAAGCTGTAGTGGCCACGTGTCCTGCGCACCCATCACGGGCACTAGCAGCAGGGCCACGCTGGTGGTGGCTAACAGGGCAGCATAGCAGGTGTTTCATTTTCTTGTCATTCAGTTCTGACAACTCTGTGAGGTCAGTATTGTTCTCTCAGTTTTACAAATGATGCAACAAGTAGGTTAGGGACAGGCTCAGGGCCCTGTCACATGTGTAGCCCTGAATTAGTATCCTCATGTAACTTTCTGGCCATGTGACCTCTTGGAAAGTCCCTTCTCTTGGCATTCCACGTTCTAGTGGAACAGTAGAAATATTGAAACAGATGAGGCCAGTTTGGTTAGGGGAGACCACAGTAGAGCCATTGAGCATATAAGCTCTTCATAGTCTTTAATGGCATCGAACCTACAAGAGTTACCCAAAATTTGGCACAAAGGGAGCATCTGTCAGCATGTGATGTTAGCTGTTCTTGACGAATGAGCATTTTGAGCTGTGAAAGGGGATTTAAAGGATACAGTGGTGTTAGAATATGAAAATCTTGAAGGTGATGGGAGAAGTTTTCATGTGGAAAGAAAGATAACACCAGTGTGGTGAGACGAACAGAGCATATAGTATGTGCTAGTTCTCAGCCTGGCCAGCCCCGAATGTCTGCAAATGCCTTATTTTCCAGAAGTTTCAAATAAAGATATTTTCATATTAACCTTGGAGTCACTCTAACTGCTTATTTCATAACGCTGTCCGGCCTTTTACACTTGCATTGCACTTGCATTACACTGTAAAATCCAGCCTGGTAACTTTTTTTAGGTCATTGATTCTATGAATATGTTAGAAGGCCATCATTGCTAGAGAGGAAGAGAAAGGAAGTGCACGTCGAGGCACTGAGGTGAGGACGTAGAAGCTCCGATAGGGCTGGCCAGGGACGACAGATGACCAGAGACCTGGAGATGCTGGGATCCTGTATGGACTTGGGTAAAGGCCATTGCAGGCGAGTGAAAACAAGTTAAAAGGTCTGAAGAGAGTGAAGTGTGTAAAGGTTTGGGGAAAAGCAAAGAGCTGCAGAGAAAGCTCTTAAGGGGAGGGAGAGTTGCAGGACAGCTTGTTTGCAGGGCCAAGGTGGATATTTTGCTCTCAAAATGGCAACCTCAAGTCTGGTGTCTCTGGCTTCTGAATTCTGCAACGTTTACCTCGGGACGCTCCCTAGCACCCGTATTCTTTCCTGCTCTTGCCCAAGTTTTCTGTGGCCACTATTATCCCTCCCCTCATGCCCCATAAGTGCTCTTGTTCTGGAATTCTGTAGCGTCTCGTAATGGCCTTACACACTTAGAACTCTGTTCTGTGGTTGCTTATGTACCTGCCTGACTGCCCTTGCCCCGACTTAACTACAGTAAAGCCCGTCTTGCTTCCCACCATATTCCTGGGGCCCAGTCAAGCTCCTGGCATGATAATGATGCTGGCATATTTCACTTGAGCCCTAAGCCCAGCGCGACTAATACAAGGAGCAGTATCATTTATAATTAAGCCTAATACGGATAATTCTACTGGGTAAAATTATATATGGCGTTCTGTGAGTGGCTTACAGCCATCTATTAGAAGCAACAGAATACTAATCCTTGGTTCAAACCCCTCACCCTTCCATGTGATCGTAAGACAAGGTCTCAGCTTGGGTCTCTGTGAATGGATAATCCTCATCCATAAAGTTGAGTCCACATCATCATCTACCTGGTGAGGAGTAAGCACTCAGTAAAGGTCATTCGTTGGCAGTAACTATAGGATCCTTATAATATTGGATGGTCTTTGTAATATTAGGACATAATGACGATACTGGTATTTAGTATTTAGACCCTACAATACTGGCTTTAATTTTCATTCAGTAACTAATAGAGCATGTATCCTGGGCCAAGTACCACTCTAGGTAGTATGACCCCATCAGTAAACAAAATGGACAAAAATCCATGTATACAGTTGCAACGAGAGTCCTAAAGCTTTAACAGGCTGTGGCAACTTCTGGCAGAACAAGGGATTGATAAAACCCAAACCCTGCATCGACGACGGGTCCACTGAAAAGGGGCCAAGAGAACAGCTGTTCTAGCCAACTGTCTAAAAGTGGTGTAAAACCCCCAAGTGTTCGAGTCTGGCGGAAGGCTGTAGCAAATCACTTCCAAGGATAACCATGGGTCTCATAAGCGGCTCCACGGCATCGAGTCCTAGAGGTGGCCCCTTGCCCCTAGAAGAGTTAGTTACCTGGGCTGGTGAACAGGTGGAGACCCTGGTCTGCCATGGATCTTCCTCTCCCACTGTCAATCCTCAACCAGTACAACTTGGTTTACACTTTGGCTTTCCAATTTTTTTTTTTTTAAGATTTTATTTGTTAATGACAGAGAGGCAAAGACAGAGGGAGAAGCGGGCTGCCTGTAGGAAGCCTGATATGGGACTCAATCCCAGGATCCCAGGATCATATCCTGAGCCAAAGGCAAATGATCAACTGCTGAGCCATCCAGGTATCCCCGTTTATTTATTTATTTATTTTTTTTGTAGAAAGGGTTTTGATGCTAAGAAGTTCGAAGTCCATTAAACTAAACACTAGCAGGTAAAAGATGGAAGCAGTCTTAGGTAGTGAAATGGGGGGGAACAAAGCCATTTTTCCCTAAGGGGCTTCAGGATTTAGAACTACAGACACTAGAACTGCGCTGCCCAATAGGACAGTCGTCAGTCACCTGGGGTTATTTAAGTTTAAATCAAAACTGAATAAAATGAAAAGTTCAGCCTCTCAGTTGCATGGCCCTATTTCAAATGCTCAGTAGTCACATGTGGCAAGAAGCTCCCGTACGAGGGAACAGATAACATCTCCATTACTACAGAAAGTTTCATTGGCAGTACAGTCCTGCGGGTTCTGTGGTGTTTTACAGAAGAGAAAAACCCGGGCCTAGTAGCCTGAAGAATGCCTCCCAAATAGAGTCCGGTCCTAATTTCAAAGCTGTAAGTGTTACCTTATTTGGAGAAGGGTCTTTGCAGATGTGATTAGGTCAAGGTTCTTGAGATGGGAAGATTATCCGGGATAATCTCTGTTGAGCCCTAAATCTGATCCCAAGTGCCTTTAATTAATTAATTATTTATTAAGTAGTCTCCACGGCCCTGCGTGAAGCCCAGTGCAGGGCTTGCATTCACAGCTATGAGATGGAGACCCGAGCTGAGATTAAGAATCAGACACTCCACCATCTGAGCCACCCAGGTGCCCCCACAAGTGCCTTTATAAGAGGGAGGCAGGAGGTTCCGTGCTCAAAGGAGGAGGCCATGAGAAGGATGAGCCTTGAGAGAGTGCACTTGATTTGATCCCATGAAACTGAGTTTTGGCCTCCAAAATTGTGAGAGAATAAATTTCTGTTGTTTTAAGCCACCACGTTGGTAAGTAATTTTTTATAGCAGCCTAGCAGCCTCTGGCAACTAATATAGATGGAAAGCTTCAGATCACAAACAGAGCTGGAGCTCGAACCCCACCACATTGCCTCCCACGCTGCTTTTATTAGTGCCTTATGGGAGTGTGGGCAGGAGAAGAGCTTTTCTATTCATTAGCCAATTTTTTAAATATTCCAGAGATATGGCAATGAAATTAAGCTTTATTTAGATAGAAATCATGAGAGATGTGATTTTAGCATGTGGCTAAAATATGGAGGACTAGCAAATACCTCCTAAAACAACACAGATGATCGAAACTAATATAAAATAATAATTTAGGGTTTATTGGGATGTCAATTTATGGTTTATGTATACTTTATGTAAATCTCACACAGTGCAAAGCATCTCCAGAGATCAAGTTGTAAACGTTGAGTAACGAAAATAATTAGGACAAATTATAATTTTTGCCTTGTGGGCCATATGGCTTTGACCAGCAGGGTCCCAGAGGCAATACAGGCCGTTACAGTGAGACGATTTTTCCATAACAACCTCAATTAGTTTTGGCTCATGTTCCACAAAACGTAAACCTGGATTTCTGGGAGTCTTTTAAAACAACAGCAAAAAACCTTAGCAGTAGAACTCATAAAACTAGTCTGACACTGCCACAGGGGTGTGGACTTAAGTCCACACACCGTAATTTTGGTGCGTCTAAGTCGCAACATACCGATAGGGAACGATGACAGCATCCTACCCCAGATTGGGAAGGAAATGGCAAAAACAAGTTTCTGAATTAGAAGTTCACACTTGACCTTAAAAATTTCTTCTTATGGGAAGGAACAGCACGCGATTCAACTAGCTCCTTAAACTAAAATGCAAATGTTCGTGGACAAAAATATCTGGAAGTGTTTTCTAGGTTTACCAAAATTGATGTGAAATCATTTTTCACCTATTTTGTATCTCAACTCTGACATGAATTACCAACGCTTCTTGTTAGGGGCGGGGCTCGGCCGGCCACGCCCACTCCTGCGGAGGAGGGGCGGGGCGAAGCCGGGGAGGGGCGGTGAGTGGGCGGGGGCGAGGAGAAGGCGGGGCGGGGCTCGTCCGGCCACGCCCACTCCTGCGGAGGGGGGCGGGGCGAGGGGAAGGCGGGGCTCGGCCGGGCCCCCATCCTGCGCGCGGCGGGGGCGGGGGCGGGGCGGCTCCAGGGTGGCCGCCGCCGAGGGACGCGTCCAGGCGTC